AGCAGGAATATGAACAGAGATTTTCCAAGGTCTCTTAACAAAACTGAGATTATTACTGGGTTACACCTTCCTTCAAATATCCTTATGAAGGCTCTTTCAGAAAGGAAGACAACAATTTCTTTTGGGAGTCATCTTCCATGGAAATGTGGGCCCTGAAAGATTTCATCGTGCCAGACTATCAGCAAAGCTATCTTTTGCCTCATAACACATAAAAATAATGTGTTTAACCTACTTTCACTCTTCTCTCAAGCTCTTTTTTGGTTTTTAATGTCTTGGGTTTTTTAGTGTCTTGCTGCAACACAGATTTCATTTCCCAGGGATCACTATTTAATGTACTTGCCTGGATTTAGATCAGTTACTGTCAGAATAGTCCTAAGGGCAGTATCAGAATTCCCCACTACAATTATCTTAGTTTAAATGAGGACTCTGGAGTAATGGTCACATACCGGTTTACACATGGGCACTGTTATTGCCCTGGAAATAACAATATTGTCTCAATACTGAATTTTTCATTAATTTTATCTTTTACAATGACCCCCAGCATTTAAGGACAACAACATCAAAAATAAAACCAAAACCTGAACTATAAACCAGAACAGCTAGATAGGCACAAGCTCAATTTTGGATATTGGATATAGGTATTATATACAGATTGCATGTGTATGTTTGATAAACTGAGAGCATTATGCAAGGATAAGAATTAAACACTAGAAGTAAGGCAATTATGTAGTATTTGTCAGTGTTTAAAAACTTCAACATTTATCAAGTGCTTCAAACAAAATAAGAACCAGATTTTTACTCTCAGTCATAAGAGAAGTTATTAAATATGTGAACTTTTTTCCTAGGTTGACTTTGCTAATATTGATTAATCTGAAAAGGCAACTTTCCAAGTTTTCCAGTGGTTAGTTATCTGTGGACACAATACCCATATTCAACTTTTTTCAAAGTGGACAGGATTATATGGATTTCTTCCATCTCAACTCCTATATTCCATTTCATAATGCATTTATACAAGATACAAAATGCTATCAAGCGAAGGTCTTCTATTCATTCAGTGTGCTGCTTTGGAATCAGCATCCATTACATGAATAAAGGAATAAAGTGTATATATCACTATGACAGTGTTTACTACAACCACAAATAAGGATTCACAATCAAAGCCTTCATTAGAAATACAATGTATAATATCTTTCAAAACTGTAGAAGTAAAATTTACTTCATTGGATTCATACTAATAATGCCAAGTACTGATGAGAGTCAATTCTAGGGATGACACTTAAATTTAGTAGTAGTAAGTTATATTTTATAAGAGAATCACAGAAAGGTTGAGGTTGGAGTGCATCTCTGGAGGTCATCTGGTCCACCCACCCTGCTCAGGCAGGGCCACCAAGAGCTGGTGGCCCAGGACCATGTTCAGATAGCTTTTGGTTACCTCTAAGGATGGGGACTCCACAGTCTGCCTGGGCAGCTCAGTCACTGTGACAGCAAAACAGTGTTTCCGGATGTTCAGATGGACCCTCCCTGTTTCAGGTTGTGCCCATTGCCTCTGGTCCTGTCACTTGGCACCACTGAAAAAAGCCTGGCTCCATCCTTGCACCCTCCCTTCAGGTATTTATATACATTGATAAAATCCTCCCTGAACCTTTCCTTCTCCAGGCTGGAGAGTCCCAGCTCTTCCAGCCTGTCCTCACACGAGAGGTGCTCCAGTCCCTTTACCATCTTTGTTGGCCCTTCACTGGACTCCCTCCAGTATGCCCATGTCTCTTATACTGGGGAGCCCAGAACTGGACACCGTACTCCAGGTGTGGCCTCACCAGTGCAGAGTAGAGGAGAAGGATCACCTCCCTCCACCTGCTGGCAATACTCTGCCTAATGCAGATGAGGATACCATTCACCTTCTTTGCCGTAAGGGCACATTGGCTGGCTCATGTTCAACTTGGTGTCCAGCAGGACCCTCGGGTCCTTATCCGCCAAGCTGCTTTCCAGCTGGGTCACCCCCATGGTACACTGTGGCCCGTCACCCAGACTGCTAATGATCAGGACTGGACCCACTATTGACCCCTGGCGTACACCACTAGTTACTGGCCTCCCACAAGACTTTGCGCTGCTGACCGCCACACTCTGGGCCTGGCCGTTCGGCATTTTCAATCCACCTCACTGTCTGCTCATCTAGCCCATAATTCATCAGTTTTTCTACGAGGTTCTTATGGGAGACAGTCAGCACTGTCTCCCATAATAAAATACTTAATACCACCTTTTATCCAAATAGATATGTGTCCCTAAAAGCTTAATTACTAGTTTGGCTGTACAAAAATAAGGAAATACACCATCTTATTTATTTATTTGAAAATCTATGAAAACATTTTTAATTAATAGAGATCCTAAATATTTTCTCAAAAAATATTCATGCGTATCTGCGTCAAGGTGATGATTTTCTTAACACAGAATACTAAACATAAAATTTCTTTTGGAAAATGGGAGTGACAGTCAATCATTTTACTGGATGAAACTTGTGTCTGAAGATTTGGTGTCAAGTCTAGCCAGACAAAAAAGGGCTTTTTTCCATCTGACTTTTACTCTAAGGAAGTTAGATGCTTATATAATCTCCCTCTACAGTCAGTGGAGAGAAATCATTACCTTCATAAAGTGTTTCTCCTTTACTAATACAGTAATGCTAATTGACTTCCACTGACTGGCTGAGAAATCAGAATTTTTTATTCTGAAAATCAGAAGATCTCAAAATTTATTTTTAAAATTAATCAGCACTAAAGAAAATGCACACTCAGCTGCAAAAAAAAAACCCTGAAGTGACAATTTTAAAACAAAAAATTATCGTAGAAATAGTTGAAAAAATTTAGCATTCAATGAAATTTACCTGTCCCAACTCTTCATTGAGGTCAGAAGTATTCACCAGTGGTCCTTCACCTGTGTCCTCATCAAACATTTCCTCATCCCATGTAAGGAAATAAGAACCAAGAAATTTCTGCATTTCCACAGTGACATACATAGATACAGGAATAATGTAGTTGAAAAGAACCATGAATGCAAGGAAGTCTGTAAATGCTCGAAGAAACTGCCAAAGAAAGAAGATGAAAATACTGATTTTTTTCATGTACCATCAAAACCCAAACAACGACTAGATACATTTGCAAATTATTTTTTTCTAATAACCTTCAAACAGTAAGCAACACCTTTCACAGCTCACAGTTCAGCACAGGATGTACACCTTCATGATCTGTAACATCACAACTAATTTAGTATGAAGAAAAAACTTTGTTTTAAATTTGTATTTTTCTTTACAGACATACAGGTGTAGGGTGCAGTTACGCATCATTGTTGTAAAGTTCTAGAGCAACTAATGAGAGCGGTGAACACCTGTATGAACAAGGAAAACAATAAAATGTGCATTCACAAATCACCAGAAAAATACCATAAAAATACAGTAACTCATTCAAGGATTACCAAATTACATAACTTGCAGGCAGCATTTCATTAATAAAGGGTTTCCCCTCCTTCTCTCAATACAAGTAGAATGTGTGCACATAACCTGGCTTGACTTTTTCAGTGGTGGAGACTTGTTGGATGTACAGTCAATCTGCTAAGCAGGTTGAGATTGTGTTACTGGTAGTAATGAGAGATCTAGAACATGCCTGCCTAGTGCGTGCTCATCAGGCATTTAGGGTAAAGAAGGAAACGTTCTCCTAGCCTAACTAGGAGGATTTATTGAAATAATATTATGCTTTCTGTACTGCTGGGTTCGGTTTGTTACTTCGGATCATCTGGGTATCCATTCTGGACTGTGTGCTTGCTCCTGTAAGGACATCGGACACCGGTAACTCTGTTGCTGGTCTCTAGTGCTCATGACAGAGTTACAGGGCTATATGAAACTAAGCTTTTGAAGGTGTTGGTTTTGTTTTTTTTTTTTTTTTTTTTTTTTTTTACAGAGATTCCTACAGCAGATTCTTTTGAACACGCATCTGTTATATGATTGCCAATAGTTGTGGGATTCCTTTCAGTCCTATATTTCTCTGCAAGAGGTCAGTTCTTGAGTAAATCACATCAGTGACAGGACACTCCAAAAGACTTTCATGAGGCTTTTACACTAAAAGAGACGTTTTCTCATCAGTTAAATTAACACATGCAACTTAAGTGCAAAAATTTCAAGATTTCTACAAATATACTGTCACCGCTGTTAGCAAAAAAAGCAACAATTTATGACTGGCTGTATATACTTTTCAGTAGGATTCTTACAGATTAAGGGTTTAGTGACACTTCTGACTTATTTTGTATTTTGACTTATTTCCATACCAGATTTCTTTTCCTTTCTGGCTCTGTTTTCTGATTATACCATGGCTCATCACGAAATGGTTCACTCTGCCAAACATACTTCAGGACAGTATTTATTAGTGCTTTACTGATGAGAATACAGAGGTATACAATAAGGAACACATTCATTGATCTAAAAAAAAAAAAAAAAAAGGACAAAATAAAAATTTCCATTAGCACACAAACTACAGAGTTTATTAAAAAATGTTATACTTGTGTTTCAGCCTAACATTTACGGCAAGTCTAACAACGCTATAATGTTAAAAAACTTCTCTACAGTGTTTTCCCAATGAAGAAAAATATAATTGAGGACTTTTTCTATTTAAAAAGTTAACTGCTATAATTGTTTCCAAAATGTGTGCAACATGTTACCAAACATAGTATATCAGTGAAAACAATAGCATAGATGGAATCATAACAGAATAACCAGGCTTGTATCTGAAGACCTTTTTATGCCATTTCCCTGAACCAATATAAAAACACTCACATAGCAGTGTCTTCCTTTCCCATCATATATGCCTATACAGAACTTTTAATTATAGCTAAACCACGGAAAACCTGCCACAGACAGGCTTTGTGTTACTGCAGTTGATCCAAAGTGAAGTGCATCAAGACAGTTATTTTTACTGAATTCAAGACTTAATTGCAATGTAAAGGAATGTTAGGATATTGAAGCACATAATCTTGGAAAGCTGTCAGTAGGTGTACTCTAACTAGTGAAAGAAAAGTCTTCCAGAACAGCAAAACACATCAAAAGGTAAGCATTACATTAAGGTGGCTTTTTAAAAAATATTTAACATTTAATAAAAATTCAGTATTGAGAACCTCATTTATAGTGTTATATGATGCATTTTATATGTAAAAAAATGATACACAAAAAAAAGCAAATTTTAAGTCCCTGCACCTCTTTTTTAATTTCAATGAAACACACGCTTTTAGAAAAAAAAAAAAAACACAACACAACCACCAAACCCTTTTATTCACTATTCAAACATGCAGTTTTCCACCCCTAAAATAAATATTAGTTATTTTACTTTTCTACAGCAGATCGCTTCTGTGATTTTGCCTGGTAATTTAATGCCATCTTAGTTTCCATGCCAGTGTAGATAGCAACACCTGAAATTAGACAACTTGTTTTACTAAAGATTGCACAGTACAACAACTTAATAAAAGCACAACTCACTAGATAATTATACCCTGTCATTTCTTTAATTCTCTGTAGTTTGAAGAAAAAGATTTGGATGATGCTCAAAAACTAGAAATGGCTTTAATACCTTGGTTCTTAGAGGGAAATTTTAAGCAGCATTTACATCCCGTTCCAGAGTCACAGTTCCCAATTGCTAACACGTTGCTATGTATCAAAGCCAGACCAAAGCTAGGTTTTGAATAAATCCCCTGTGTTTTTAAGTTCTTTTTTGGCTTTAATTTTAGAATTTAAGTCATAAATTTTAAAAGAAAATCCATATAGGGCTAAACTAGAGGATACATCCAAGAAAAATAAAAAGCAGCCATCAATATTGCTTGCTTCAGGAAAATTTAGTAATTCATGAAAGGAGTGTTCTTTTGATATTACCAGTTTCCTGTTGATAACACAAATTGAGAGACTAAACTTCAGAAGATTAAATACAACTAAAAGAAGCTGTAAACAAGACAATGGATTTAAAGTACTTATTAAACCAGCACACCTTTACATTGCTAAAATAAAATAATTTAGGATATGAATTGTGCTGGGGTAATGGCAAACGTTGCACATGTTAGGCAGACCAGAAACAACCACTCATATTAGGAACATCTCTGCCCGATACACAAGTTAACAGAAATATTAAAACCATCCTCTGAAGTGTACAGAAATAGTTACTACAAACTAATTACATTAGTTCATCTATTTTAGATTACAATTAAAAGCAAAGAGAGCACGTCTGAATTAATATATACTTTTTACATTCTTTTTGGAGAAAAAGTTGCAAGATTTTGGTATTATAGGCTAAAGTAGTTCATAGCTATCTATGATCTTCTTTCTTGGGAGTATGGAAGTTGTATATGATAGAGGATGACTTGGATCCTTGTCCCTTTTGTCACCAGCCAAGAGTGGCTTGTTACAACAGAACTACTCTTCCCACTAGGCTTTCCTGAAGAATTTCCAAAAAACATCTCTCAGTTTGTGCTTCCTTTTTCTGCTAAAACATTCAAAATTTTCCATGGAATGAAGACAATTCATACACACAAAATATACTGGCTAGAAGAAAGTCTAATTTTGATCAGGAACTGGATCTTTTTTTTTTTAAATCAGCCATATTTATATCTGTTTATTTTGACAAATGAGCAAAACATTTAAAATTTTTCAACAGGCTCATTAACTGCTTTGGGACAACAACATTAATTCACAGTGCTTGTTCAAAAGCCTTATATTTACATGAAGAATTTGAGTCATCTTCACTAATCCTTGAAGACTAAACTATGAAATCCCCCTCCCCAAAATCTCTATAGTCATTGTACATCATTAACAGTTACTTTACTGCAATTATAGCAACAGTAAACCTTATTAAAAACTTGTAAATCAAGTGATTCAATAGAAATCATATGCCTAGTAATAACTGTAGAGCTGTAACCTTGTTTGATGTTTGTTTATTACTTCAGGGTCCATTTAAATAAAATATTTACCAAATATTTTTTCTGTATTCTTTAAAGTGGCTCCTCTAAGAAGCAGATTTTCAGATCCTAATGGCCTGCAAAAGGTAAGTATTACAAGATACAAACATTTAGAGAAACAGTGGACCTTAGTGGAAGCCATGTAAAACAGGAAATTAGTTTTACTCAAATATTTTTATTTTGTGTAACAAAATTACTAGACAGTATTTAAAGCTTTTAAGTGATTTTTTTTTAAAAAAACATATGTGCCTAAAATTAAGCTCATAATTTCACAATTCAAGTCCTAAATTAATGCATCTAAAAACCACATATGTAGGTAGCTAAATAAAGACTCATCATTCTAATTTAAGGTGCTTATTTTGAAAAATTTTGATTCAAGTAATTTTTAGGCTTATATAAACTATAGTGTCCTGCATGTTAGAATTACTTACTAAGGACAATACATTCTTCAATTTTTATTTTAAGTATAAATGGCATACAAGGTATTGTTTGATACTTACTGTATACATTTCAAAGCGTAAAGATAATTTATTGAGGAGTAGGGGAATTAATGTAAGGATCCCTATGCAGTTTAAAACAGTATTTTGGAGCATGATATGTAATACAAATCACCATATAAGTACAAAACCAAGGACTACTTTATAGACAGACAGCACGCAGAATTGTCAGACTCAATTTATACAGCAACGGAAAAGAAACAAGAAGTATGTTCAGTATTTTTTAATGTTATTTGAAGTGTTCTTGTGGCATGAAACCCCCCAAAATCAAGAAACTCTAAACAAACAAAAACCCCAGGGCCCTAACTATGATGTAAAACTTGAAACTAGTTCCATTTAAACCAGTGGAGTGATGTTATAGGAATGATTTAGGTTATATGACATTATACCCCAATACAGTAAAAAATACCAATTGCTTTAATAGTGCTGTCCAAGGAATACAAGGTTTAATGCCACAGATTTTCTTCTCATTCACAGTGTTATAGACAGATCAATCTGTTGCTGTTGAGATTAAAAAGGTCTTTTCTGCTTATTTTCCTTCTGTCTCCCACCCAAGTCCCTTTCTGACTGGCTTTATTAGCCAAAAGAATCTTTAAGGTGAAAGAAGCAAAAAAGACCGTTTTCCTAGCCAACTGTAGCAATCTACTATCACGTGATACATCACTCAATGTGTGAAGGACAGCAGGATCCTCAGGAAAGGATCCCTACTCCCTGCAAGTAGGCAGCTGTTGCTAGAACAGCTCACGTGGCCAATTCTCTGCCTGACCCTCTTATCTGAGAGACACCAGGAAGAATACAGACCAGAACTGCCAAGAGATGGTCGGTCTGGATGCCGATAAGAGATTTTTGCGTTGTTTTCCAGTGCAGTTGCACAGGTGTTTCCTGAGGAAGCTATGACAGTGACACACTCGGCAGCCAGATTTCCCCTCGTCTTTGCTTACTGATAGAAAATCACATCTCTACAGACACATTGTTGTTAGGAAGGCACTTAGCCAGAATGGAGTAACTTCCCACATGCTGGGGTCTAGGATATCACCTGAGCGAGAAGCCTTTCCCTCCTATTGCTTTGCCTCTTTGTGGCAAGGTGCTGAACAAAATCAGTATAGCAAGTCTCTTCCTTGCTGGGTAGAGTGAAGATTCTAGGCAGAAGAGACAGAAAAACTCTTGCCTCTTTGCCACCCTTCCAGGTGCCAGACCCAGGGTAATAGATCACCCTCCCCTACACCACATACAAAATGCATTTCCCTGGATGTTGCCTTCCTGAATACACATAACATTGTGGACATTTTGGACAAATGTACAACCCCCCTTAGTAAAACTAAATATGATATTTGGCATGGTCACACTCTTCAATTTCTAAGAAAAAGGAGAGAAACACACAAGTGAAACTATCCATAATGTTTGGTGCACTACCAAGATGCCATGCTAATGGTGCAGTATTATCCAAGTACTGTCAAAATCCTATCAACATAATTTACAAACGAAATGCATGTCAAATAAAAACTGAAGTTTAATAAAGACATAAAATAAGAGATATCTAACAGATTAAAATATTAAATATTTATGATATATCAAATTACAGTCTGTAAACTTATAAGAGAAAAATATTTTATCAATAAGACAAGGCAGCACAATGTCGGTGAAACAAAGGTAATTCTCATTATTGATACTTATTCAACCCTACAAATGTTTAAATGAGTAGAAGCCCTGGATTTTCCCTACCTTGCAGTAGGCTCATTCATATCATGGTAAACATTTATTCGACCAACGAATCTGCAAGGGAAATACACAAGTCATTTAACAGCACTGCTAATCTGTGTATTCTTGTGTATATATGCCCCAATATTTCAGTTTTTTAAATGTACATTACAAGGACATGTCATTCTCTCTATATACAGATGTATATATACCACACATACATATTTAAAAAAGCAAATTACTCTCACTTTTAAAATCTTTAAAAAGTATATGTGAGAATAGACTATTTGAGAAATATTTTATAGAAAGTATTTATTACAGTGAACAAACACCTTCCAATTAAACATGCTCTGATTATCCAGGAAGTAAACAAGACTACAGAGATACATATGAGTACATTTAGAACATGTAGATACAAAAATACACTAACAGTAAGTCAATTTAAAGTTTGCATATAAAAAGATATAAAAGATAAGATTATGAATAAATCTTCCCATTCTTCCCAATCTTATTCTCTAAGCTACCTGAGGTAAGTAACAGAGTGATTCCTATCCTTTACAAAACTTACATCCTACAACTGAGTTAAAACCAAAACAAAACAAAAGCAGTTTTCCCTCTGAATATCTCTAAGTATATTTTATCTATATATGGTGGGTTGACCCTGGACAGCAACTAAGTACCCCCTAGCCTCTTGTTCATCCCCCTACCCCCCACCCCAGCAGGGCAGGGGAGAGAATCAGGAGAGCAAAAGCAAGATAATGACACTATAAGCGAAGGAAAAAAAAAAAGAAAACCCACAAAAAACCAAGTGATGTGAAGGCAACCACTCACCACCTCCCATAAGCAGAACGATGCCCAGCCAGTCTCCAAGCAACAGCTATTTTGCAAAGACTCCCTCCCTGCCTGGTTTTATTGCTGAGCATGACATTGTATGGCACAGAACATCCCTCTGGTCAGTTGGGGTCAGCTGTCCTGGCTGTGCCCACTCTCAGCCTCCTGCCCAGCCCCAGCCTACTTGCTTGGGCAGGCAGAGTGAGAAACAGAGAAAGCCTTGACACTGTGCAAGCACCACTCAGCAATAACTAAACCAGTGTTTTGTTATCAACACTTGTTTAGTCACAAATCTAAAACCCCGCACCGCATGGCCTGCTATGGAAAAAAATTAACTCCATTCCAGCCAGACCCAGTACACCATGTATCTGCAATAACACTATCCAAGTGGGTAACCTCAAACCAAAAGGGATTAAGCCCAACAGTAGCATTCTGGATGGAGGAGGAAACTGTAGGGAGTTGGCAGGTCTGTTACCCTGGAAGGGAACCTCTCAGGCTCAGAGGAGTGGCGTCCTGTCTGCTAAGAGAATACACAAGGCAGTAGGGCCACATCTAAAGACACCATACAGTTTGTTATGATGCTTCATGATGTAAAATGACCATGTGCCTTTGGAAAGAAAGATTCACCACTGTGGTTGGTGAGAGGTAAAGTGCCAAGTAAAAAGGAGGAGAGATAGAAGCTGTCTGCCAATGTGTTCTCATTATTCATGTCTCAACAGCTGTCCCAGGAAATTCCACCATCTACAATGGCGTGAGCTTCAACTTCCAAATGTTCCCTTCACGAGCCATGTATTTAAAAAAGAATCAAACCATTCACGGAATTGGTATTCTAAAGAATCTGTTCTCTTGCAGATTTCTAGAGCAGTGCCTTGGTCCCTGAGATCAGGGAAAAGAGATACCTTCACACCTCAGAAATAAGCAATGTTTCCTCTGCATCTTCCAACAGTATTTGCTGACAAAAGAGTGCATTTTAGTTTGTTGCCATATTGTCTTCTGTGTATTATTTCAGCTATTTTTACTGCAGCAGGAAGAACAAGGTTTTCCCCAGTGGTATGTGGCTTTTTGTCTTTCAATATTAAGAAAGAAACCCCAAAAGAGGCTTCTGAAGATTCACCATTAAGTTTAGTGAAATTTTGTACAGTACTTCTGTAAAATATTGAGTATTGCATGACTTCAAAATTGCTAAAAAACTGTAAAGGTTTTTCTTCATGTTCTGGATGCTTAGTTTTTAAATGTCTTGCAAACCATGATGGCTTCATACTGTCATGAGCTAATATGTCAAAGCACGTAGGGTGAGGTTCATCGTTAACAATAGCAGATGTAAATCCATCTTTCAAACAGTCTTGACAATTTAAAAGTTTTTTTGCTGCTTCTCAGATCTTATTAGATTGGCATTGTTTTTATCTCATAATGTGACTGATTAAGAGCTCAAACTAGGAGTGGAAACATTTGCCATTTTCTTGTTGTTCACTTGTGCTTGCACTGTTAGTATTATCTTCAACAAGCAGTTTCTCTGCAGGAATCTTTTTAAGCCACTTGACCATTTTGTGAGGGCTAGTTTAGTCAAAACTAGATAATATAACCCATAAATCCACTTAACCAGGTACGCACAAATTGTAAAACTTCACAATACACTGAAAGCAAAGGAATGAGTGAGGACACCACTGGCAACCTCTTCACGTTATGGAACACCCTCTCTTCCCCCAGGACACCTCCCAAACTGTAGGTGACACAGGACCCCCTGACATACAGACTGAGTGAGGGTGCCAGTGTCCATAAATATATTAAATATTAGTAAAAAGCTTAATTTCTTATTTTTTAGATTTAAAAAATAAATAGAAGTTCTAAAATTTTTGTCACACACCCCAATGGATCCTCTGGTGCACCCCCCTTTGGAGACCACTGCCTTACAGCAGACCACTGAACTACCTGCAGGAAAGGAGCATGCATGGAAAACTAACCTGACTTCAAGCTCACCCTTGAGCCCACTCTAACCACACAGATGCAGCCAGTATCTTTTCATTATGATATTCTTATAATTTACTGGTAAGCTACCTTAAATGAAACAGGTAAGAATTATTTTCTTACTTATAAAGATCAGGCTGAGGTTGTTCACATTCAATGGTAGCATGAAGTGCATCCATTTCTTGTTCATTGTGAAATGCCTTTGTATCTTGAACAGCATAGTAAGTCTGGAACAAATAAAAAGGTGTAAATAAGATCGAAAAAATAAGGACAGATATACAAGATGTTAATCTGCAGATATACTTCAGTTCAGTGTGAAATAGATTTACTAGCTTTTACATATGAGCTCATAGTTCAAATAAGATGCACCTTTAAATGCTCCTAACTGGGCATCATCTTAGATTATATGCGAGTACCTTCCAGTATATTCACAATCAGGTCACCATGAAAAGCATTTACATCCATAAAGTTTGTGCATTGTCTCTGTAATCTGCATGCCTATACTGGACACTGACAAAACCACAAATTATTATATTTTAAAACTTTACATAAAATAATGAAACTTTAGCAAAAATTAAGTCAACTGGTAGAAATGAAAGTTACACAAGTCAGTCTATGTCCTCACACATATATGCATGAAGTCATAGTGTGATCTGTGTAAAAATTTAAATGCAAACATTGCCTTAAAAAGAAAATGTAGAACATTTTATTACTTTATGACTGGATTCACCATCCAAACTAGCTGTTGTAACAAAACATGTTCCATCTCCTCTACTACTTGATAGAAATATTAAGTCACATGGGAATGTTTCATCTTCTTTTACCATTACAATATCTCCAACCTAGGGAAAAAAAAAAAAAACACAACAAAATAAAATGCATTTATCATTTATGTAGCAGCCCAAATGTCAGATTTCAAAACCAAAACCTAGTTTCACTCAAATATCTTAAATTCATTGATTTTATTTACACCAGGATTTTACCACAGCAGAAAGAACTACAGAAATACCTCTGAAAACTGAATTACACCTTGGAAAATGAATGAGGTCTACTGTGTACTACCCTTCCTCTCAGGATCTCAAACTATTTTGCATGTATTGTCTTATTAAGTTTTGCAACATTGATTTGAGAGATGCAAGATACTAGCCTTGTTTTAAGACTAAATACAACAAAATATAGTTTCAAAACAGCTGGAGGTGTGAGCAACTCTCGTTGGCTATTGAGGAGAAGCATCTAGCTCAGAATATTATAACTAGAAGTAGCTGAAAAAGCTAAGAATTCCAAGTCTGCCGATGAAAACAGGATACATGTTCAGCAGAATCTGTCACTAGATATCCATACTATTTTTTTATCCATGTTTAAAAGTGAGCAAATTAATTCTTATTCATGTAAACACAGATAATATCTTACAGCCTGTTACAGCGTCACAGAACAGCCAACCATCTATAAATTCAAAAGACTAGTGTAAAGCATTCATATGAGAAAAACAGTCTTTGATACATTTTTGGAGCTCATCTTTTATGAAGGAATATATATATAAAAAAGAACAAATGGCAAAGATATACTATATGTTTTAATAATATCAAAGTGTCGATAAAAATCCCACCAAAATATGTAAATTTTGCCATTTTTCATGTAGCTCAGCATCTGCTCAACACACTTTTATGTCATAATTTATTATTACAAAATTCAGCTTAATCATTGTTCTCTTAGTTATAAAGCTAAATTCCAATAGCCTTAGCAGTCTGGCAGGAGTCAGTAAATTCTAGTTAGGCAGAATAGTCTGAAAACAATCAGCAACAGTAACATTTAAAAATAAAATTGTGACAGTACTAAGAAAGCACTACTAACAGTACTAAGTGTACAGATTTACTAAAATGTATTGAAGAACTAGAATGATGATAATAAATGATATTTAACTTCTTGTAGATATGAAAAAGGCTTTTTTTTTTTAATCAATAGCAATGAAAAACTGCAGATTGTACACATGGCATAGGAGAGTGCAAGTTGCTAAGCATACCTGCAACAATCAGGTATAAAAAATTAAGAGAAACTTAAATCAGAAATTTTCCATCTTTTGTGTAAATGATGGCATCTTTTTGAAAATTACAACTTCTAGTACAGCAGAAGAACTGTACAGTTTACTAATTTTTGTTCTCTGAACAAAAACTGGAGATGTATTAAAACAGCATAATGACAATTGGCTACCCCGTTTCTCAGGGGGGAAAAAGCTGCACTTTTAACAAATAATAAAAAGTTTTGGGCTGTTCAAATTTAGAAAGGGATTCATTTCCTCATGTATTTCCTTCTGATTAAATGACTTCTTGTGCATGATTCTGCAGACTCAAGGAAGTGAAGATACATAGTGAGACAGAGAAGGGGTAAGTTTGGAACTGGAGGCAGTGAATGTCCTGGCTGGAGCCAGCCTGAACAACACAGAGCCTTCAACCCAAAGGGCAGTGGAGCCTGATGGACCACACTACTGCTCAAGGTGCCTTATTCTTCCAAGATGTGTCTTCAAGAGAGCTTGTCTTTTTGCCATGAAATCATTAATTATGAAAGATAGTGACATGACAAATTGTAATAAACCCCTCAAAGTGAGAACTTTACCACAACCAGACACAACACTGTTATGGAATTATCTTGAATAAACTGTTAGGAGACAGAGAATCCACCTATTCCTAGAACAAACTGTAAGACCACCACATAACTATTTTGATTTTATTAGCTCTCTTTACCACTGAAAACAATATTAATTTAATTATCAGCTACGTAAAACACAGCAATATTACTGCAAGTTTAATCACCTCTACAGATGCCATAAAAAGAAAAATCAGAATTCTTCAGGACATTGAACATGGCCAGAGAGAAAGTCGGGAGGCCAGTTTAGCTAAGAAACCCCTCCTGACAGTAAAGTGTCACTACCAGAACAAGTATGAGAAAAAATGCCCACTATGTCTGGCATTTCCTAAGTTGCCACTGAAAACATTTACACATCAGAAAGTGAGTTTAGATGTAACTCAAAGACAAAAGAGTCCTCTTACTTCTGATTTTCATAGATCATAGTGTTGAATGATCACTATTATTTATTAATTAATCTAGCAAGATTCTCCCTGTAAGCCACAGCATACAAGTCACCCTGCAGGCCAGGAGCAATATATAATACAATAGCCTATTAAAACAGAAGTTAATAATCTAAGCAATTTGCAAAAGAAAAAAAAAAAAAAAGCAGGAATAAGAAAAAAACCCAAAACAATTAAAAAATACTAGCAAACAGCATATTTTTAATAAAATTTAAAAGGTGTTCTGACATTTGCCACTGTGTCAGCTAAAGGTGCAAAAAGGATGGAGGCAGGCTCTTTTCAGTGGTGCCCAGCGACAGGACCAGAGACAATGGGCACAACATGAAGCATGCGAGGCTCCATCTCATTTTCAACTGTGAGGGTGACCCAGCACTGGCACAGGTTGCCCAGGGAGGTTGTGGAGTCTCCCACCTTGGAGACATTCAAAAGCTGTCTGGACAAGGTCCTGGGCAACCAGCTCTTGGTGGCCCAGCTTGAGCTGGAGGGTTGGATGAGATGACCTCCAGAGGTGCCTGCCAACCTCAACCAGTCTGTGATTCTGTAAAAAACCAAACCTCATCTTTTAGCAATTCTCTTTTTCCTTTCTTTAATCAAATGTCCACAGGCTTTAGGTGCAGAAGGGTCTACCTTTATACGATCTAGTCTGTTTTCTTGTGTAAAACCGGTCAGAGAATTTTGCCCATTTACCCATACATACAGATATCCCTTTCCATGCAACTATTTCCTATGCCTGGTTCTCCTACCATTTAGTTGCTTAAAATACAATCTCTGAAAGGCAACGAATATGGGAGAAATTGAGAAAATATAGGCGATAGATTAATTAATGGAATACAAATTCCAGTTACGTAGCAGTTTATTATTTTTATTTGGAATACTTAACTGTTTAGTTACACACACAGAATACTCAGCACATGATGTCTTATTTTTTTTTATTACCAGGAAGCCCTAGGCAGAAGCTATCACACTCAAAGAGAAGGTCACAGCAGAAAGGCTGTGAACACTGTAGAGCCATTTATGCCCAAACAAGGCAGAGCAGAAAAAGATATCCCTAACAAAGATATTAGAAATAAGGAAATTCCAAACAAATATCTAATTTGCTGAGTTCTAAAGAGAACAAATATGAAAAGCCGATCCGTTCACAAAAAAAAAAAAAAAAAAAGCAACAGCAGCAATTAATTTCTGAAAATAACCTTCAAAATACCAGGAAGGGAATGTAGCAGCATTCAGATGGCCAATGAAGAGGATCTGATTTGATGGGTAATAAAGAAAGTATTCTGAATGTGTTGTATATACATACATATGTATATATGCGTTGTATACGTAGGACAAATCGGTAGCGTTGACTATCATAATCAGGCTTAAATAAATTATTAATGTGCATACCCACAGAGGACTGAAATGGAGAAAAGACAAAACACAAATCATGAGTGAAATTCCAAGTTAAAAAATGGAAAATGAAAGGAACAGTTATGAGAGGAAGTAATAAAACAACGATAAAGCAGAAACATGTCTAGCTTCTAAAAATACTTTATTCATAGGCATTAAATTAAAAATTAGTATATTGTAGGTCTACTCTCCATTAAATGTAATAAATGCTACAACATCATCTACGCTACATTTCTGTATAATTTGTTTTACAGGAACTGTGAAGTAAAGCCTGACTCCTAAAATCCGTTACGTCATAGTTACTTACTCTTAATTTTCGGCTTTGCTTTCTAACCAGTTTACCATGTTGAATGAAATGAACAGGGCATTGGTTCATTGCATTGTCAGCTTTATGTCGAAGCCAATCTTCATAACCCTAGAAAACAGTGAAATGGAATGATGCAGTGACGCATATTTGGCTATAAAGACACAAAACAGCTCTAGCTTGCAACAAAAATTTAAAAAATCATCCCTGATCAAGATAAGGAAATAAAAAGAAAATATTCTCACTAAAACAAGTTAAATTGTGATACACATCAGTAATACAGTCATATTAGACATATATGAAAAAGAACATTCATGGTTACAATTAGTCAACAAAATTATGTATTTTAATGAAGACATTTGGATGAATAGGGATGTTTACAATGTGTAGAACAATTTCTGGTGTTTAAGTGATCATCTCTTGCTCATACTCTATTGACTCTTGAGTAAGTGCAAAGTACTGATATAGAAGCAGTTGCTGACAAGATAAAAGTGTAGAAAATATATTTTGGAAGACTGGGACTCCATATTGAAAGATGATAAAGTCACAACATGACTGAAGGTTGTCTTATTTCCTGATTGTCATACAATCATGCCAAACTTTTTAATCCTATATAAAACATATATGGTCCTGAAGAATTTTGTTTCAAGAGACTTTGCAGTGTAACCTATTTTGATTGTGCAATTATCCTATGAATTTCTGTTTTATACAAACAGACAAAGTAAAGGACAGGGAATCTGCAACTTTCCATTCACAAGGTCCTGGTGTGGGATAAAGACTGGGACTGACAAAAAGACACCAGTGGTTAAGAGATGGAACATATCACTTGTATTCCATAGCATTTTTACATCTGACTTTCTTCAGCACATTTGAAAATTCAGCGTAGAACAGAAGTATCACTACCTTGGATGCTCTCAGAGATCATCTGGGAACTCACAGAGTCTTTATAATTTTAGAGTAATGTAATTCCAGGGGCTGGTACAACTAGCTCCTCAAGCAGGTCCTAAAGTCTACACCAGTTGTCAGGAGAAAGACTCAAGGAGAAAGACAGAACTGCAGTACTAGGCACAGTATGTCATAATCCAGGCTTTGATAGACCACTACTAAACTACAGTAAGACCCTAAAGCGTAACATTCCACACCTAAAATACTAGCTGTTGCATGTATCACAACTTTTGCTCACCAGCAAGACCTGAATTCTACTATAGAATACACTCAGGTGTGTATAGTTAGCACTGTAAAGAAATAGAAACACTGCTCTTTGTAGTTTCTTTGAAAACTAATGAAGGAAAAGTCTGCATTTAACATAAAGACTGTGAAGGTCATCAGCTATCCTATTAAGGGACAATCAAAAGTACCCTCTGTACTGGGTCTGGCTGGAATGGGATGAAGTTAGCTTTCTTCTTCCTTCTTTGTACTTGGGGCTAAAACAGTGTTGGTTACAGCCCACTGTTTTGCCTATTGCTGAACAGTGCTTGCACGGCATCAAGACTTTCTCTCCAACCTCCCCCCACACCAAAAAAAAGACCAAGAGGCTGGAGGTGGGCAACAGGCTGGGAGGGGATACTGCCTGGACAGCAGACCCAAACTGACAAAGGGGGTATTCCACACTGTATGGCATTGTGCTCAGCAAGAAAAGCCCAGGGTAAGCAGGCAGAAGGAGATTGTTTGTTGTGATGGCATTTGTCCTCCTAAGCAAGCGTTACATGTGCTGAAGCCCTGCTTTTGAGGAAGTAGCTAGATACCTGCCTGCTGATGGGAAGTAGTGAATGAATTCGCTACCTTGCTTGGCTTGTGTGCGTAGCTGTTGCTTTCCCTATTAAAGCATCACTAACATGGCACACGAGTCTTTTCGCCTTCCCTCTATTTTCTCTCCATCCCACAGGACGGGGGATTGAGCGAGAGGCTGGGTGGGTGATTGGCTGCTGGCCAGGGTCAACCCACCACACTCTCATTTTTGTTATTCACTGTTTTAATCATCACAGTCCATCATAGGTACATAAGAAATACAGACACTCCCCCTACAAATTTTGAGCTAAAACAAGGAGCACTCTGACCTAGAAACTTTCTTGATGTTCAACTACCTCATGGAATTTTTTTTCCGAAAAGACAGAACTACTTTTTTTTTTTTGAAGCATGACATGAGAGATCTTTCTTATGCCCATGAAAGTGCTAACTCCTTCAAGTGGCCCAGCAAAAGATGCTGAACGTCAAGCTGCTTGCACACATTTTCCTTTCACATTCCCATCCCATTCACTGAAATGAAGGAAAGAAATGGCTGTGCTCTGGACCCAGAGATAGCGAAGACTAAACCATGAAAGGGAACTCACTGGACCACTGAGTTCTTATGCTGATAGCTGTCCTGCAGGAGCAATTATCATTAAACTGGACTGAAGGCAAAAAGCCAAACACATCACAGAACCACTGTAAAGACCATTATTTGTGACTATTACTTTAGGAGCCCAGATTTTTAGAATCTACTCTGTGGCTATGGTGAGATGGTACAGTAAATGCAGAATAGTGTTGTAGGCACCGAATGCAAAGTACTGCTTATAAACTCACTTGCTAGTTCAAATTTAGTAAAATTTTTGATGAAATAACTTTGCACTAGCAAGGTTGATGCCAGATCAGGTATCATCTGCAGATGGCCTGAAACTCACAAAGTCAAATTTGGCTCTGGCTAAATCAACAGAAGGACAATCATAAGCTCATGCCTGATCCAGACCAAATTTGTAATATCAGAAACCCTAATAACACATAGATCTGATTGCAATATCCCCATATTAATTAAAACATTCTATATTCATCTGAGGTTCCACTCATTTCAGTAAGATCCCATCTACATTTAAGTGCTCATGTCAACTGTAGCACTGCAGCATTAGGGTAGCAAGTGAAAAACCACCTTAATCTTTTCCTTTTGGTAGTGCTAACTTGAAAGTGGAATTCCACATGTGTACTATACAATTCTATTTTGAATGAACAACTTTTATTAGGATCTTTTATACTCAGTGATGTGGCAAGAACCGATTTCTAAAAAAATACTTCAATTTTATGGATTAATTTTCACATTAAAAATGAGAGAATACTATAATGTCTGGTCAATACTAATCTGTAGAAAGCACTGCAGCTACTGTTATGAATGGCAGATTATAATGAACATATACCAAAGACTTGAACCAAAATAATTTTTATTATCTGTTCATACTGTAAAGGCCAAGGAAACCTCAAACGTAACAGCAGTTTTCGTAGTTCTTACTAAACTGATTTTCAGTCATTATGGGAAAACATAATAGGATGTGGACAGCTATTTAGAAACAAACAATAAGTAAAAGTGTGCTGAGTTAACACAAGAATGTAAATGACTCCTTGGAACACAATGAGATCAAAATTATAAAATAATTTAGAAGCTTATGTTGAATTAGAGAGATCACATCATATAGCAATCAATTCTATTTAAGCTACAGAAATAAAAATAAAATTACTCTGTCAAAATTCACAGCAATCATTCTTTAGGCATTACCCTGAGACATTCTAACACAAAAAGGCAGGGAAAATTGAAATGCAAAACAAATAATAATTTAGTTTCAGTTTTCTCTTTAGTTTTATTTTTGCTCGCTAAATTACTCACCTGTTTGATAGCCGTTACCGTGATGACAAATAAAAGTGGAAGTCCACTTGTAACTGGACTAGTAGGTGTATCAATAATTAACTGCAACAAAAGGAACAAATATTTTCTGGTTACATTTTTGTGAATATAAGCAGTCAATTTTTCAAGCAAGATGTTTCAAGTAATCATTTCGCCAATATGTCACAAAGCACCAAAGAACTTGAATTAAAGACAACAGTATTTTAATACAATTTTAAGAACATATACCATACCAACAAAAATTAAAAAATAACTATACGTTATAGTAAGATACAATACTATATTTAAATCATATTAACATTAAGATATTAATGCCTAGTAAAAATATTTGCTTGCAAGAGTTTAATTAAGTACCAGACTAGAAAGCTGCAGCTTTGGAGGCAAAATTACTGAGCAGTGTTAGAAACTAGCATAGTACTGTTTTCACATTATGCTATACAGCTGTTTGCATGCATGCAAGGAGTAAATCTTGAAATACTGAGCTATGGCTTCTACAGTTATATACAAAGAGGTAGACTCCATAGAGGGAGTTCAGATAATAACAAAACTGCTCTGGGAATCCGCATAGATGCACAAGCTGGTGTACAAAGTAACACAGCTTTTCACTTAGGAAAATATTTATTCTTTAACACCTTTCAGCAACAGCGAAAGGATCAGAATGAAGACACCTAGAAAGTAGCAAACTAGTTATCTGAGGTAATAGCTACAAAACCAAATATTTATGTACTACTCTAAGCAAGTATTGTATAAGCATCTATATTTTGGTTTCTCCACAGGTTTTGATGACAGAACAGTTGGAAAATTTCTACCTAAGCATCATTCCATTATAAAAAATGTAATATTTAGCAAAACTAATAAAAGTTTATTGTCCACATAATTTAAAACAATGGTTTTACTGATCTGGGTATTTGTTTATTACAAAATTTAAAAAAGACCCTCGTTCTTTTCAATTTTATCAAGGGATGTCTTGCCATCAAACCAGTGATCGTGTCAATTTCTCTTTAGGTTAGATTCACATTTACAACCTGGAAATGAAATAAAACTCCTTTTGTCACGTCATGAATGTAAAAGGCTATCCAGGCTCAACCATTTACCTCCCCGGTCTTTAAAACCAGTGGATTTTTAAATCTTTTTCAACTCCTTGGTTTTCTAGGAAGAGTCCAGAAATTTATTAAACAATGGGGATATCTTACCTGAACAAGGAAAATTATGAGAAAATAGAAGTTAGCTATTCTTCTGAATTGCTCAAACAAATTTTTCGGTACAAAGTTCCAAAACGTGTACTGAAAACAAACGCACAGATTATCAGTATTTATGAGAGAAGTATTATTTGCATTCTATGCTCTAAAATCAAACAAATTCATAATTCACAATTAGATTAAACTAGACAAAAAGTGGTAGTATTCATGTTATTTTGTTTAATAATTTACTGAAATGGAATCTTAAATTGGCAATCATGTATTCTTGGAATCATATTAATTGCCTCAGAATTTTCTCAACTGTGATAATTGTGGTACTAGGGACTGAAATAGTTTTTGACTAGCAAAAATATTCATTCAGAGATAACTGAACAGTTCAGTTAAATCAAAGGATTTTAAAAACATCCTAGTCACTTCTAACATCGTTTTTACCTCACTTCCATATTTGCACGCATGACTTGAGGAGGTAGGTGGCATTCTGAGAGTTAACTATGTAGTCATAGCAAGTTGACCAAATAAAAGTTGTCAGCCCCACTTCTCTTCCTTGGCTTGGACACAAGCACACTTCTCAAAATAAACTGTAGGACTGAATAAGAGTATATGGCTGCATATTTCTCCACTGATCTTACAAACTATCTAAAATTTATAAGTATATAAAAGTGCAAACAGAAAACACAAAAACTCCAAATGAGAAAAATCATATAAGTGAAAAAGCATCTTATGTCATCTAGTCCCTTCCCCTGCCCTGCAGCAGTTTCAAAAGTAGTCTTTTTACACAGCTCATTCTGTAGAGCCAAAAAAAAAAAAAAAAAGGCAAGGATTGCTTATTGGAATGCATGTGAAAATGCCAGCTAAAACTGTGTGAAAACACGTGGAAAATGGCTTGAGAAAATTAATATCGTATCATCCTATTATACAAATTATCATTTGACACATAATAAAATGACAACTCCAATGTAACTTTCATTTCAAAGGAGACAGGCTAAAAAGGTTCTCCTAATTATTTGCTCTGCTACAAATGTGCCTTGTCTCTTGTTGGCAGCTTGCACTGATACTTGCTGATAGGCAAATTATGCCATGAGTTATACATCTTCTGAATTTGGCCCCAAACGCAAAGACAGCCAGAGCTGTAGAAGGAAAATACCTCCATTCTGCCTGCAGATGAAAAGGATCCCCAAAAAGCACACCTTAGTTATACGTGAAACCCCTAGTATGCAGAGTCATCTTTCTACTCGTTTGGGTTAAAACCTGGACATCTGTAGGACATAGGAATGAAATGTTCTTTTTCTATCATGTGCCAAAAATCAATATCTATTCTAAATATGTCCCAAGTAAACACTTATCCTGCTTAATAGTTACCTCAATATTAAATAACCTCTGAGCAAGCCAAAACTCAGGCAGGCATACATGCAACAGCTAGGAATTCAAGTGCTCTCATCTTGCAATCAGAATACTTTTCATCACACTGGAATGCTGCTTGAACTGCCCACTACCCAGCTACTTATCTTGGAATTTCAAAACGGAACTGGTTAGACTTGATTATTTTTCCTTGCACAACAGTCCCACTCATTCAAAGCTGCTGTTGCGATATATGCCAATATAGATTCTATTCTAAGAATTTATTATTTTCATCATTAACTTTGATTATCAGGCAAATTATCTCTGTTTTCTAATCTTACACATTTATTTCTTTATGAATCTCTGCTGAGAAGGAAAAATTATAGAGGTTTCAGTGAAAAACTTCTGTTCACATTTTTATGTTTAGCTCTTTTGACAGAACAAGTGTTTTTTCCACGTTAAGGAGGTTTTTTTTGACTGTTAAAGTCTGATGATGTATACAAGCTCCTCAAATGACCATTCATAAAATAAAATCTCTTAAGCAATTAACTCCCTGTTTAAATCTCCTAGAGGGTTATTTGACTAAATGCGTGGCAACAGCATACTGTTGTCAGACTAGGTATTTAAAACACCTAATTGAGGGAGTCAAGTAAATTAGTTAAACAACAATCTACAAAAACATGTAAAAAAAAATGTTCATCTTTACCCTTAGTATCTGATCCTCCTCATATTCCAACCTCATTTCACCGCTTTCCCTGTGAAGCAGTGGTCTTTCCTGCAGTTCCACCTTTGGTCAGCATCTCTCTTACCCAAATAAGTGTGAATAACCTGGGAGCAGGTAATTTTTATGGTCCAAGAGGTGTTACTTAAAATGGATGCTTCTTTAACACAGAGAACTTCTTAAAACTTTATTTTCAATCAACCTGACAGACTTCTAGCACTTTATTACACTGGGTTTCAGACATACAAAGCACACCTTTATTCTGCCCATTCTTCTTTCTTTAAAGAAGAAGTAACAATTTTTAAAGGAGTTTAGGTAAGAAAAACAGACCACTAAGATGCCTAGACAGACCCCCCCCCTGCCCTAGCCATCAGCAGCTCAGAGCAGTATCGACAAATGGTTGATTAATGTTTAACCACCATAATCACTCCCAGGAGAAACAACAAAATGGCTGCCACTCAACAAGATTTATTTCATGACTGCATTCAAGGCAGTTTCTCTACCCTAGTTACACACACACACAAAAAAATCTTTGAAGAAAAGGCATTAAAAATGAGGATATCAAATGCATCAGATAGAGAGTTAATACCATCTCTCTTCCTCAGATAATTTCTAGTCATGCTCTTTGAAAACTCTGAAAAGCAGTTTATGTATATTTAACTACCTTTTTTCACTATAACTCACTTGAAGGAAGTAAGGGTATCCAAATAGTTGTCCACGTGAAGCTTTTAAGCTGGGGAAGGCTTAACTGATCTTTTTCAATTGCTGCAAAAGACTTAAAGGCCATAGCACATATATGCCTTTTACATACAGGAGGTAATACATCAGACAGCAAATAGTAGAGTTATGTTTTCATCCAACAGATGAACACATTGTGTGAACAGATGCATCTGAACACTGTGTAAAGAACTATAAAATCAGTTTATGTAGAATCAAAACAGCATAATTCAAGTAGATTGTCCTCCCATTTATAATTGCAATAGCACCTGCAGTGCTGGTGTATTTCTGTAATCACGTGCTTGGACTACTTATGAACACCTCCACAGTATTCCCGCTCATGCCCCTGTTCCGTCCCAGCACTTCTTGCACCCTCTTGGCTAATGCTGTGTTGCTTCCAGCTCCAACACCTCCTCGTTAGACCCAGTCCCATGAATTAAAAAAATATAGAATAGGTCATCTTAATAATGGTTTAATTTTTTTTTTTAAACACTGTATTTTGACCTATCTGACATATTTTGACTGTATTCTGACATATCTGTATGTCAGAATTTTGGCTGACATTTCCAGCTTCTCTTTCCACCGTAAGAGGCAGGTATTTTCTTAATTAAAAGGAGAGTTTCTTAAGTAATCACTTGACATCAAAAGCTGGAGCTGTAAGAAAAAAAGCACTCCATATTGCATTATTGAGTTCTGTCAACACCTCAGTTTCTTACAGCCTATTTGTTTTAGTCATCATCTCTCTTCTAACCTGCTCTGACTTCACTCTTTTCCCTCAAACTTTTCTACTGTTTCTTGTAGAGGCTTAAAACTATTCTGACAAAAATATCTACTATGTTGCTCCAGCCCTGGTTTTTAGACATCTTGCTATGCTGATTCTCATCCCTTGTGCAAAACAGAATCCATCTTCAGGATAATAAATTCAGGGAAGAACAGATAGAAGCTGAACAATAATCTTGCAGTCACTTCTTTAAGTTTTTCAGTGTTTTTCTTTTAATAGATCAAGACACATACACAAACCTTAAACATGTCCATAGTGGCTTCAGTATTTTTAACATACAGATTTTTATAGTACCTATCAATCACCTAGAGACAACACATTCTTAAAGCTGCCAGCTTAACAACTGGACTGTATGTGTGTGTATATATATGCATGTAACATTTTATATATACTACTTTACATATTATTATGCTATTAAAACAGCATGAGTATTACATATATTATATACCTATAGTTATCCCCCTTCAAGAGAACAGCTGAAAAGGGTCTGATCAGCAGTTTGACAGCTTCTTTAAAATTAGTTTTATTTCTAAAAATGTTACTTTTTTTTTTAAAGAAAGACACAGTTTGTGAAAGTCTAATAGAGCAGAGAACTGGCAGAGAAAACTATAGTAAAGGCTGTGAAAAAAGGAAATCAATAATTACCTGAAGTCCTAAGAATGGAGTTGAGAGTATGGCTTGTCTATCTCAAGTGGCTTGCTTATAACCACACAGGAAGTTTGTAGCAGAACTGATCTACAATCTACCATGTATTAAATCAGTGTCAACTCTAACTTCTTCAAGCAAACAACTTCAGACTTCTGTGCTTATATACAACTCAAAATTAGAATAGTAATATGCATGAAATTTTGAAAAGCATTTTGCAACATTTAGGACAGTTTGGAATTAATGTAGCGATACACAATTAACTACATTTTAATGAAAATATTAACATGCATGCCACCTACACAGTGTTTATCACTCCCCATTGAGTGAGAGGCCCCTGTTTCTGTACACCACATGATGTAGGGTGGTTCACATTACATGGATCACAGTAAGCTCTGTTACATGTAGGGCTTTTGCATGTGACAGAGCCACCTGTACACTTCAGAGACAGTGCAAAAATGAAACTGATTTGGGGAAATCAGTTCAAATGGTGCCTATGCATTTGAATGAACAAGCATACAAATTTTGTCATAGGGTTTCTTAAAAATACTTGCTAGTAAAACAGGATTTCTACTACAAAGAAGCATATCTTTAGGAGTCCTTGTTCAGCAACTCTCAATCTTATCAAATGGGAGCTGTATCTCCAGGAACTCCTCTGACAAAGGTACCCCCAGCATCTGGAAGATTATCTAATTACAATTTAAAAAAAAACCAAAAACTTACAGCAAGAATGACTGACTAAAAGACAGAAGTCACGGAGAGCATTAGGCAAAGAGAAGAAAGCGTAATAAAGTGTGTGCAAGAGTGAGTGAGCTTCGCTTTGTTATATGTAAAGTGAGACAAATTACACCTGTCCTCCCTAGTGTTGGGTTTGAACCTGCT